GNAAAAATAAATATAGATAATAAATAGTATTCTTAACATGTAAACTTCTCCAACTCATAGTCAATGCTTAGAAAGGCCCCTCTTATGATCCTAATCTGATCTTAATAAGTAAATTCGAGATTTAGTGAAAATTCTCCAATTTACGGAACCAAATTCTGACTTAAAACGAACAGTTACCGTAAAATCGAAAATTCTTACAGTTTTCGAATTTCCTTCTTTTCTTTTGGTATTTTTCATTTTTATGCTGAAAAATTTTTCTTATCTTGTATTCTACTAAAAATATAGAGAGAAAATAATTTAATGTATTTCTCGGAACTGAAATCGGACATAAATTCCGACTACAATCGAAAAACGCAAATTCTAAAAATTTCATATTTCTCTCTAATAATTTAAATAGACTAAAATGTCTAAATAAATTTTCTCACTTATTTGAACATTATAACTTAATAACTGGGCTCGAAACTAGGAACGAGCATTATTAATAAAAGTAATTAGTTCAAACTTAGAACTAAAAATAATTACTTTTATTAATTACTGAATGGGATATTACAGTTTATGAGGTAAATGGTTCATTTCTTTTGTTATGATTTGGGGCTTAGGGATTTACCCTCCGAATTTAAGGACTTAAACTCTAGTCGTGATCGAGTTGAGTTCTCTCTTTAGAAGTTTCTCGATATAAGTTTTAGTATAGTGTTCTCGAGCGAGGGCACTCACAAGATATTTAATGGTTGTGTATATGAGTTTTGCTTAAGAGTGGGCATTTGAGCTTCCGCTGTCGAGTGAGAATCGAGATGTTCTGTATCTCCGACGGTAAATAGTGTTTTTAGCCTTTACTGATAATATGCTGAAATTGCTTACTTTCAAAGGTTAGATTTAAGTTTAAGAATTTTAGAATTGCTATATGTGCAACAGGAGAGAAAGAAGATAATAGAGACATGAATATATGTTGTGTTTGAATATTGTTGTTGCATTATTTTGTTGTGACTTCATTGTGTGCTTTTATATTGTTTAAGTTGCCTTACGTTCAGAGTTTAATGAGTATTAGGTGTGACTTATTCGGTCTGATTTGTCGCTCGAGTTTAAGAATGAGAAAAGAAGGCTTGAATGTGTGTTGGTCTGTATGTTGTGTTGCACTATTCGGTTGAGCTTTTATGCGTGTATATGTTGTTATAATGTGTATCTATTTGAGGATAAATCACAGTTTTAATAGCCTTTAAGTTGCCTTAGAAATTTTATGAGAAAAATAGAAAAATTGATGCATGTGTGATGAGCTTTAAGCCATGTGTATTGCTTCAATTTTGTGGAGTTAATTGCTGATCTTTTTGGTGACTGTTAGCATGCTTAAACTATATATTTTCATAAGTTACACTTCAGTGTTAAGGCCTTATGACTTGTGGTTTGAGCATGACTTGAGATTGTTAAGCTTGAATATTTCGAATCCTTGAATCTGCTGCAAGTTTGAATCGAGATTTTCCCTAGCTATTTGTTTAAATATATATCACAAATTCTTATATGAGTCTGATTAACTATTATAAGTGTTGACGCTTCGTTTTTTTTTTCAATAATGTGCATTTATTTATAAAATATCATGCTTTCGTTTATATTGTTCTTTTATAGTATTAACGATTTAATTTGAATGTATGTAAATCTGTTGAAAAATATTTAATGGCTAGTTGTAGGCCTGTCAAACAACAGTACTTGCTCATCCTTCAAAATAAGGCTATGTTTGGTAAAACTAGCTGATAAGCTAACTTATAGCTTAATAATTTTCGAACTTATAACTTATAGCTTATGACTTATAGCTGAAAAGTTAGCTTATATGATAAAATTGTTTGGTAAAATTAGTTGATAAGCTAACTGAAATAAAAAATTCAACTAGCTTATTTAAAAAGCTACCTAAAGAGCTTATGAGATAAGTTCGAGTTTTTGAAAAAAACTCGTCCTACCAAACGACAGAAATTCTATGGTGCCCATGTGGGCACTATAAACCATGCCACAATATGATGTGACACATGAAGTGGCCTTTTGTTTTTAATTATCAATTCTATGTCATATGTGATGTGGCATTTTTAAGATTTAATAATCAAATTAAGACATTTAAGAAATTACTAAAAATCAATTCATAGTTCCCAACACCTGCAACCTCACGACCTCACACAGCAATCACGCCGCTTCGGACCTTTATGCGCGGTGCTTTTCCGACGAATTGGCTACCGTGGCGGTCTTCAATGGGGGAATTTCGTTTTTGGACGTTTTTCCTATGGACGATGAAGTTATTAACTTGCCCCAAGACACGAGAGCGCAAATTGAGCTGTTGAGAAAACAATCGAGAAAGTCGTCGAAGCTCTTCGTCGATAAGCACGACGATTTACTCCGGCTAAAGCTCTACCATTTCTTAAACGAATTCAAAAACGAAAGGATCCCGGAAAAAGACGAGCTTTACTCATTTTTTGTCCGAAAATTAGGTATTCGCAGCATAAAAGCCTGCCAGGAAGAAATTGAGTTCTTGGAGGACAACATCGTAAGCCACGACGGCGATCTCGACCCGCCGGCCACAGTTCTCAAAGGGTTCGTCGCCTTAATCCGCTACTGCAGGTACTTGCTTTTCAGATTTGAAGACGAGGAAGCCGGGGAAACCCAATCGCCGGTGGCCGGCGAAGAAAATTAGCTTAATCACCCAAGAAATCGCTGATACATTCGCCAAATTACCCAAAGACTTCACATGCCCGATCACATTAGATCTAATGCGTGACCCTGTAATCATCTCACCGGCCAACCTACAATCTGTCGTCGATCACAAGATGGCTTGACGATGGGCATTCAACTTGTCCCAAATCAGGTCAAAATCTCATCCACACTAAATTAATCCCCAATTCATCCCTCCGGAATTTAATCCTCCAATGGTGCACGGCGAACAATATCCCTTACGACCCACCGGAAAACCCGGACTTCCCGGATAGTAGTCACCCGAGCCGAGCTTCCACCGAAGCCACATGAGCCACGGCTCGCCTACTCATCGACCAGTAGGTGTTGGAAATATGAATTGATTTTTAGGAATTTCACATGTCTTAATTTGATTATTAAATCTTAAAAATGCCACATCACATATGACATGGGATTGATAATTAAAAACAAATGGCCACCTCATGTGCCACATCATATTGTGGTATGGTTTATGGTGCCTATATGGGCACCATAGAATTTCTGTACCAAACGAAGCTTATTTAAATAAATGAAGCTTATAAACTAACCAAATAAGTTATAAAGTAACTTATTTGCTTACCAAACATAGCCTATATAGAGGAATTTGTTGATTCTAGTTTCTTATAAAATTGAAAGAATTTGTTATTGAATAATAGGGGTTGATGCCATTTGAGCTCGTACCTGTATTCATTGAAATAATATGAAATGGTCTTACATTCGCAAACATGATGTTTAAATTCAGTTATCCACTTTAGCACGAAAAACTAAAATTTTCTTTCAATTTTCTTAAGTTGGACATGCTTAAAGCATATGACAGAGTGGAGTGGGGAAGTGTGTGCAAAACCATGCAGAAATTTGGATTTGGTACAACCTTTATCAAATGGATCTTTGCTTGCATTTCTACACCAACTTTCTCTTTTCTGATCAATGGGAGAGTTGTGGGCTACTTGAACCCCTCTAGAGGGTTGAGACAGGGGGATCCAATATCCCCCTATCTTTTCCTAATCATCTCTGAAGTGTTCTCCTCACTAATTCAAGGTGTTGTGGGTGGAGGTGCTTTTAAAGGGCTCAGAATTGCAATGAATGGACCTACTCTCACTCATCTGCTATTTGCAGATGACACGTTAATTTTTTTCAAGGCTGAGCCACAGCAAATCAGAGTGCTGAGGAACATCTTGCATATTTACCAAAGCTTCTCGGGTCAGAAGGTGAATTTACATAAGTCCACTGTGTTCTTTAGCAAAAATACAACACCTCTGCTGAAGGCATCCCTCTGTCAGATGTTGCAAGGTATTGAATGCCATGCTTCCACCAGATATCTTGGTCTGCCCCTCGGCATAGGAAAATCCAAGAAGGAGACATTTGAGTACATTCTTGAAGCTGTGAAAAAAAGACTGTCAACCTGGAAAAATAGATATCTCTCTACAGCAGGAAAAGAGGTATTAATAAAATCAGTCATAAATGCCCTTCCAGTATTTTCAATGGCTTGTTTTAAGCTACCAATGGGCACATGTGAGGAACTGAGCAGACTTACAGCCTTTTTCTGGTGGAGTAGGGGAGACAACCTGGACAGAGGCATACATTGGAAGCAGTGGAACATTATTGCTCAATCCAAAAGCTATGGGGGCCTTGGCTTTCAGGATTATAAATTGTTTAATGAGGCAATGCTAATGAAGCAGCTATGGAGAATCACAACTATGCCTCATTTGCTAGTAAGTCAGGTGTTGAAGTCAAGATACTATCCATCTTCTGCGATATTTGAGGTACAGAGGACTCCATCAGCCTCATGGCTTTGGAATAGCTGGGTGGATATGATGCCATTGTTTGCTAAGGGACTGCAGAGAGAAATTAGAGATGGTAAACTGACAAAAATTCAAGATCCAAGCTGGGTTCCAAAGCTTCAACAGTGTGGGCCAAGTCTTGTGTCTTCTGAAAGGAGAGCACCAATTTGGGTTTGTGACCTAATGAGTGAAGATGGCAAAGCTTGGAATGAGGGGCTATTGAGAAAATTTTTCTGTGACAGAGACAGAGAAGCTATCATGGAGATTAACACCCTTGCCCCTGATGAACCTGACAGGTGGAATTGGGCCCTTGCTGTTAATGGCAAATTTTCTGTAGCAAGCTCCTACAACTATTTGATGATCCAGAAAAAGCTTAAAATGGATATAGCAGAGGGAAGTTGTTCTGCTTTGAGTGACAGAAGAGCAAGGGATAGGACCTGGAGCATGAAAGTTAAAGAGAAATTGAAGCACTTCTTATGGAAGTGTTTCACAGGGTCTTTACCGGTGGGAATTAATTTGGCGAAGAGAAGATTGAAGAATGACCCTATTTGTAAGATGTGTGGAGAGCAGACTGAGTCTACTGAACACCTCCTTCTCAACTGCCGCAGGGCTCAGTTGGTTTGGAAGTTTGCACCTCTGGAATGGGAAGACGAAAATATGAAGACTCACTCATTTAAATTGTGGTGGTGGCAGGTTTGTGATCTTGACAAGTCAGATATAGCCGAAGACCGCATTCAGTTATCAACTTATATATTGTGGTGGCTATGGCGATCACGGAATCTTTGGCTCTTTGAGAAGGTGTGGCTGCCAGAGGAGGTGGTAGCTCGAGGAGCTTGGAGAGAATGGCAAGAGTTTGCGGCTATCAAGGATTAGCATGCCACCGGGGTAGCTTAGTTTAGTTTCTGTCTTTCTTTTCCTTTTTCATTGGGTTCATGTGTTTGTATTGTTTGTCGTGCTAGTTTGTGGTTTTGATTTGGCTGTTGGTTGGGTCGAAGGAAAGGCTCGGTGGTTGTATCCACGCTTTTTCTCGTGTTAGTTTGTTGTGTCTAGATTACTCTTTGAGTGTATCTCCCATTGTAGTTGTAACCGTATTCGAACTTTGTTCGGTTTTCCGTTGATTAATATAAGTTTCTATCGTTGGAAAAAAAAATATATATATATATATGATTTTGAGAAAGTTTTATCTTTTTATATTACAGTGTTTGATTAAAAGGCATACGGGTGAAGACACTAGTAACTTGTAATGGTCAAGAAATATTACAAAAACAATAATATATAACAAACAAAATTACCTACATCCTTTTCTCGGAATTCTTTCACGAACTTGTTACAAGGTCCAACTAAGTTCAAAAGATTCATTACCTCAGATTGGAAATATTCAAAATCCTAGAACAACAGCCAAAATCAAATAAACTAAGTCTTCAAATTAGCCAGGAAACAGACATACAATAAAAAGGCAACCGATATCTAGGAATCGGCAATGGTAACTTCGACTTCAACACCTGGTTCAATGGTGATTGAAGTTATTTGCTTCACCACATCTGGGGAGCTAAATAGGTCGATCACACGCTTGTGTACTCGTAGCTCAAACCTATCCCATGTATTAGTACCTAAAGACAAAAATTCACCATAACCAAAAATGCACTCTTATACCAGGAAGAATACTCCAAATTCAAGCTAAAATTCATGAAATCCAGTAATCTACATATCAAAGTCAATTCACATGGTAGCAGGCAAAATAAATCATTTAGTACCCAAAAACTGAAGTAATAATAAGAGAATATACTGGAAAAAATGAATTATCAGACCAGGAAACCCGTAATTCACCGTAAAAAATGGGAATTTGACACGAGTTTAAGAGTCCTTATAGATTTGTAACCAAACACCAATTGCATCAATTTACACAAATAGAAGATGAAGCAAATGGAGTGTCTCTAGCAACAGCAACAGTTTCAATGTAAGAAATAATCATTCAAATCAAAAATTGAAGTAATAATAAGAGAATATACTGGAAAAAATGAATATCAGACCAGGAAACCCGTAATTTACCGTACAAAAATGGAAATTTGACATGAGTTTAAGAGTCCTTATAGATTTGTAACCAAACACCAATTGCATCAATTTACACAAATAGAAGATGAAGCAAATGGAGTGTCTCCAGCAACAGCAACAGTTTCAATGTAAGGAATAATCATTTAAATCAAGATCCAAAAACATCAGTAATTATACATCACTACACGAACATCCACCAACAATAAACATATAAACAAAACTCAAAGGATGACAATAACCTCACTCATGAACCAAGAACGGTGTAAACAGAAAATATACATATGCAAAATGTTATATACACATTGATATAATTCAATATATATATAAATGTGTGTGTGTGTGTGTGTTGTCTTAGATGGTTGTGATTAAACCTACATTCACCCTTTAGGAATGGCTCCCATTTGAACCACTTCCTATATATATATTTTACATTTTCATACTTATTGTAGATTTTATACCTTCACCACAAGGAGATTTCCGGGTAGTAATATGAAGAACTTTGGTCGGCATTCTCACTGGACCTTTCACCCTGAGTCTCTTGTCCTTGGCACCACGTACCAGGTCAGCACAAACTGTTAACAAAATTATCAAGGTTCTATTTGAACTTTAAATATTCAGCTCTACTTCTGTGGATCCCTAGGCATCAAGAGCAACCATAATAAAGTATATCTATTGTATTCAATCAAATCAACTGCAAAGTGTTGTGAAGGCCTTGTCCTTCCAAACTGCAAATTGGCTGAAATGCTATGCAACCAACACAAACTTAAGAAACATAGTCATCAATGTAACTTATTTTTTTGTGAAGTGACTAGTAAAGCTTTTATGATAGGTAGGGTTGTCAAGAAACATATGATATTCTTAGCGGCTCAAAATTGCCAAACGTTCTAAACTAATGCCAAAATTAGTATGATGGATCTGACTGTTCACATCGCCACAAATATCCATTTCGTATATTGACAAACTAGCATCTCATGTGATACATCCAGCATCCAAATAAGTTTAAATATTATAGTCTAATGTATGTCGTGAAATTAAAAACGTAAATAAAAATTACCAAGACATCTCACAGTGCAATTGCATTCCAAACTAAAATATATCTTTTCCTTTACATTCAAGCAGCAGGAACATGTCGACTCGTAATGATGTTATGAGGGAAATTTACACAGATCAGAACAATCGAATCCAAATTCAGATATAAGTTAAAAGGGTTACCTTTCTCGAGATTTTTCACATTCTTCGAGGAGAGAGTGATGCGGATCTTGTGAAGCTGCTCTTGAGGCTCCTCGAGCCCCGGCTTGGTCGGCTTCATAGCGGCGTACGCCATTTTTCTCTGCGCGAGAGCAAACGAACAAAAGCAAACATCGAATCGATACATACGAACTCATATATATTCATGATTAAGAAATAAAACAATAGGTTTAAGGATTTGAAAAATATCATTTTGCAAAGCGACTGTACCGGAGAAAAATGAAGCAAAATGGCGACGGCGGAGCTGAATGATTGAAAGCCTTTACCTTCAGTTGATTTTTCCGTCGAGTTTATAAACCTAGGGCAAGGTTTCTCTTTTTAGAATAATTGCAGATGTGACCCCAGGACTCTTGTATCAGTTAAAATCAACCAATGAACTTTGATTTTATTTTTTGATTAATTATAAAATAAACCTTCACCTTCATTATTTAATCAACTTTCAAATAACTGCAAACAAAACTAAACCTTGTCACAGAGGTATATTTGGTTCAGCTGAGAGAATGAAATGGAAGGAATTTTACTGGAAGGGAAGAAAGGAGAAAAGAGACAATATAAAATAATTTGAAAAATGCTATATGTACATAATAAATATACATAGAGGTGCAGTCTATTTTATTTTTTATTTTTGGTAGGACTCACTCAATGTGAGTGTTATGTATACCTCTATGTAAATTATTATGTCCCTATAGCATTACTCAAATAATTTTACTTTGTTTTGAAAGATTTTGTAGGAGGGAGAAGAATGATAAACTTTATTTGGCTAGAAAATGAAGGGAGGAAAAAAATAATGTAAAATTAACTATTTGTCCTTAATTATATATGACATAAAACAATTAAATAAAGTATATATTAAAGACGAAAAGATAATTTTACATCATTATAATTTTCTCTCCCATCTAAATTCTCCCATTTTTTTGGAGGGGAAGGAAATTTGGAAGGGGATGGATTTTTGCTTAAAATTTTCCCTCCTCTTCCCTCTCAAAATAACAAGGGCATTTTAAACATTTTCTTCATGACTCCTCCTTTTCCCTCAAACCAAACACTACCTTATTACTCAATATTGGCCGGCGACCACTATTGTTATACGAAGTACGTAACAACGGATTAGGAAAATTCCCTAAGTATGTTAGATAACGAACGAGGTACAACGACCTGTACTTTTATATAATAAACAACTCGGTTTCTTATTACAATGTTATTGCTTTAGAGTAAGTGATTAAATCTGCCTTTATTACATTAAATGAGAAGTATTTATACTATGAGACCCACGAGTATAGTTCTCGATGCTCGCACGTTGTCATTTAATGCGATTTGATAGCGACGTGTGGCTCTGCAAGGTGGGTCCTGAGTCTGATGATTGCTTTTCATCAGGACGATGGATGCATGTCTTGTCCGCATTAAGATGTATCGTCAGAGGCTGACCTCCAAGGACTTCTAGTCCGTTCCTTCTGGTGGGATAACCGAGTTCTTCACGGGACTAGCGTTGACAATATTTGCACTCAAATTAAATGTCCATTCAAATTTGCACTATACTAAATAATATTTAATCGTCTATATTTTGGTATTTATTTATTTTGATAACAATCTCTGGAGAATATGACCTTGCTCACCGCTTACTATAGCTACACCGTACACTTGCGGGTAGTGAAGATATATTGCGACTAGATAAAGACTAAACTTGGCTCACTTGTGCGTATATTTGTGTGTATATTTAATTGAGATAAATTTTCATTTGATGTTCGACTAAATTTGGACTTGTTGTGCGCGTGAACATACAAACATTATTTTAAGCCTCAACATGGACACAACAAAACTATGTGTAAACCAACCGCTAGCTACTTTGTTGTTATCAATTTAAATTGTGCAAGAATTACAAGATTATTTAGACAGTTTATGTAAGTTAAACTTTGTCAAAATTTATTCAACATAAATTTCATTTGTATCAAATTTAATAACAAAGTTTAAAAAATATATATGTAAATTCGACTGATCATTTCAAGGGACGACAAATTTTCACTTGATTTTAGACTAAACTAGTAATCAACCTGTGCATTTGTGCATTTACACATAATAATACTTAGAAAAGATAAAAATATGAAAATAAAAAATAAAAATAAATCGTAATTTAATTCATGAAAAAAAATTAAGAAAATGATTCTAAATATTATTTAACACTTGCATTATTAAAAATTTGGGTTGAATTATCAATAGAACAAAATAATGCATTATAACCAACTGCTGAATTGAGTTGGATAACATCTTAAAAAAATGTGGTGAATTGGGCTTAATTTTTTATTAAAATACTTGTAAGGATGACTTGGGCCGATTTTTTCAGTAAGACTATTTATTTAATGAGACTGATTTGGTAAAGCCCGAAAAAATTAATTTTTCAAATTGAACTCAATACATATTTTTTTTAACAAAAAAAAAAAAAGAATCAGGCGACCGGTAAGACCGATTACCAAAAAAAAGTTACAAAATCCTCGACTTAAATCATCCGAACATTCTATAATTCAGACTCATTTCTCTCTTGTTATCGGCGGATTACACATTTTTTTTCTCTGTCAAAAATATCCCAGATCTCATTTTTTCTTATCAATTTTTGTCAATAATCATGCTTTTTTCCTTGTTTTCCCGGCACGATATTCTAATCAAATTCTGATTTTTTTTTTCAAAGAAATAGAAAATTTCAAACAAAACAGAGATATAACATCAAAATCATTTCGATTTTACAATTCATTTTACCAAATCATAGTAAACCTTGCAAATCAGATGATTACATAACATATCTATCAAGATTTGAAATTTTATGTTTTGATTTAAGGTTGTCGTCCCTAATTTGCTAAAATACTTCAATGAATCATAAGAAAGTTGTTCGATAGGCTATTATAGTACAGATCTATCAAGATCTGTAATCCTTTTTGAAAGTCTTTCTTTTTATAAAAAAAATCGTGTTTTCAGTTAATATAGCTCAAATTTTGAGGAACCAAGACAAAAGCTGATTGCATAGTGATATTTTTTTTAAATTTTATTTTTTAATTTAATTTCTTGTATAATTCTTTGCTTCTAAAATGAGTATATATCAATGTTTACATTATTTCTGCCAAATAAATCAATTAAAGTGCACGATTTGAGGTGGAAGATTACAGCACCTAATAAGTCTAAAATTATTGGAGGAAAAAAAAAGCAAATAAAAATGCACGATGTTAGGTAGAACATTTCTACAAATATTATCATTAGACTAATTAGGTGATGTGAGGGAAAAAAAAAGTAAAACAAAAAAATTAATATTAAAATATGATAGAAACTGGGGGGAAAAACAGGTGCGGGCCCACTAAGCATGAAGCGCACTATGAACGGGAAAAAGCCCATATGCAGCCCAAATGGGGTTCCATCGCAAAACCAATTGGTGGAAGGAGACATAGCCCATTAGACTTATATGGTGGGTCTATTTTCCATGTATGAATGATGTGGAACAACTCACAAGTGATATTCTTACACGCCCCCTCACTTGTGAGTCCTTCGAAAGCCCAAGTCCAACTCGGCTGGGTGACGGGTACGTCATCGCATGATCACCAATAAAACCAGCTCTGATACAATGACAAACGGGGGTTGACGGGTGCGGTCCCACGGACGTGAAGTGCATCAAAGCAGGGAATCCCAAATGAAGCCCAAGTGAGGTTCCATCCCAAAACCAATAGGTGGAAGGAGGATTAGCCCATTAGACTTATAAGGTGGGTCTATTTTCCATGTATGGACGATGTGGGACAACTCACAAGTGATATTCTAATACGCCCCCTCACTTATGAGTCCTTCGAAAACCCAAGTCCCAACTGGGCTGGGTGACGAGTACGTCATCGCATGGTCACCAATAGAACCGGCTCTGATACCATGACAGAAATTGAGGGAAAACAAGTGCGGGTCCACCATCATGAAGCGCACCATGGAAAAACGGGAAAAGCCCATATGAAGCCCAAATGGGGTTCCATCCCAAAACCAGTTGATGGAAGGAGGAGTAGTCAACTCACAAGTGATATTCTAACCATTGTTTTAAAAATCGGCCTAGCGGCCGCCTAGGCGCTAGGCGGCAGTGCACCGCCCACGATTTGCTAAAATCGGCCAGGCGGGCTAGGCAGGCCTAGTCGGGCCTAGGCGGCCTCGGCGGCTACGCGGTTTCGGCGGAGTAGGCGGCTGAGGCGGGTTCTCGGCGTCTTTGACAGATTCTATAAGCAAAAAAAAAAAAAAAATAGAGGCCGCCTGAGAGCTTTCGCTTTCGTCGGACTTGAGAGCTTGTGCTGTTCTTTCTCCTTCCTTGAATGTCTGAGATTGAAAAGGAAAAAAAGAAATTTTGATTTTTGAAAACTACAGAGAGGCTTGTGCTGCTCTTTCTCCTTCTTCTGTAAAGAAATGGCTACCAGCCTACCGCCCTACAGCTGTACATTAATGTTTATTGTATTATTATAATATTATTAATCTGAAAAGGTATGTAACATGTTACTCACTTACAATTGTTTAAGTTTATTGTATTACTAAATAGATTTAATGAGTATACAAGTCTACCTGTTAGTCTGTTAACCCACATTACACTTAAAGTTTTATTACAAATTAATTATTTATGTTCACCAAATCAACACACACTTACTACTATTTTTTTTTTTTTACAAAACGCGCATTATGTAGATATAACTTGCTACATGTCATGGGGAAAAGAGTTTCTGTTCTAATTTTGTATTTCAAGTAAATACTAACATGTAGCTGCCTAGTTAGGAACATATTTTTTTTTATTCCTTAGAGCATGTATGTTAAGTTAGATTAGATAGAATATACCAAGATATCTACCCTAAATACCTTGTTTGTTGGCACATATTACAGCTCGCGATTCATGTGCTGGCCCGCGACCCAATCTTAAGAAATCCTGGTTTCCCACGACAAATGGATCGCGAGGAGGTAGGCAAGATTTGTGGAATCTACACAGTATCTAGTGTGTTAAAAGACATGGTTGTCCCAATATCTTTATTTTATCCAAAATACCCTAGCTTGTGGTTGAATATATCAAAAAACCAGCGCACCGAACACCTGCAATTGCACTCATTTTTTCAGACCCTTACACCCATTTGCAATGGTTAAAAGATTAGAGTTTGTGTTGACAAGTCTCATTTTTCGTTTCTTTGTTATGTCGATTATTAATTGTGTCTTTCAATTTGTTCTTACATATTTTATTTTGTGGATGCTCTTACGCTTTATAAATAACAGAAAGTTGATTTTTAATTGGGGAATAAAGTTGTAGTTGTTAATATGCTGTGTTGTATATATATTAATTAAAGTGAATTAAGAGAAAATTGTTGGTATTGATAATATTCAACAGAGTTCTTTATAAAATGTGTGTGCACACAACTTCGTGAAACAAACACATCATAATATTTATACACCTGCACATAGGGCTACTATGCAGGAATCATTTATTTATTTAAGAAAAAATATGTGGCAA